AATTATTCAAAAATTCTGATTTTCTGTGTTTTATTTGTATATATAAATTAAATATTCTGGTTTGATTTATTCAAATAATTCTGAAATAATTCTGATTTTTGTATTTTATCTACTTATTCTTATATTTTATTATTTAAATTAAATTCTGATTTTTAAATTTATTTTTGTACTTGTCATAGGGTCATCCTCATGTAGATTTAAATTATCATTAGAATTTCCAAGTTTGTGTTCATCACCTAAACGTTTAGCTAATTCTTCCATTTTTTGTTTGTAACAATTTTCACAGTCTGAAAAAAATTTTTTCTGGTAAAAATTTTTTTATTTTTCCGAAAAAAACCAGCAAACGGGACAGCAAAAGAAGAGAGATCAACAATATCCGAAATTAATTCAGAATAAAATGTTTTTCCTGTAGCTCTATAAAATTCTGACCATTCTTTGCCTTCCTCTACTTGATTCCAAATTTTACATCGAAAGACATTTCTGGCTGTACATGGGCATCTAATTTAAAATAATATTTTTAATGGTTATTTATTTTTAAAATAAATTTGAAAAATGGAAGAAATTTTCGAATTTTTAAAGTTAAAAATAATTCCAATAAAAAGCCAGATATCCTGAGAAATTTCAGAATATCTGAACCTAAAATTGAATTGAAGAAATTGTCAGGTGAATTTTTGAAGGTTAAGAAGCCTGAATTCTGCGCCAAGGATCAGGATGGCCAGATAATGTTCAAATTTCCTCTAGTTTGGGGAAATTATTAAAAATAAAATTTTTGGCCACCCGCCCAAAGATCGTTTTGTTGTGAATTTTTTGGGGTTTGGCCCAAAATTTTTTAAAGAAAATTTTTTCACTTTTACTGATTGATAAATATTTTTTTAATTTTGGATTTTGATTTAAAATTAAAAAAAGAGGAATCTTTATTGGAATTTTTTATTTTTAAATTAAAAACCTTAAAATAATTAAAGAGGATTGATTAGCCCCCTCCAATTTTCTATCATCATCTAGCCACTGGTACAAAGGTGTAGGAAATCCACTAGCTTTGCATTGTAATCGTAAATGTTGGTTAATAATTGAAGAATTATCCTTATCTATTGAAGCATTTTTTTCTAATAAATTATCTTCAGATTTATCAATATGAACAATTATTTGTTCTGGACGGGACCAAATAACTGGACCTTTTTTTAATTAAAAACTTTAAAATAAAATTTTTTTGAAATTTAATTTTATTTTTTAATTAAAAAATTAAAAATATTGGTTTATTAAATTATTAAAAATTATTAAATCCTTGTAAAGCCATCCGCCCAAAAATTTGCTTTTTGGGAATTTTTGGGGGTTTTCCCAAAATTTTTTGTAATTTTCCATTTTTACTAATTAAAAAATATTTTTTTAATTTTGGATTTTAATTAAACCAAAAAAATTAATTCCTGTCTCCTGTGTCCAAAAATTTTTTTTTGTCAAAAAAATTTCAAGCTATGGTCTGTTCCACCCAAAAATTCGTCAAGAAATTTTCTAAAATTTTTTTAAAAATACAACTAATTTTTAAAAATATTTTCCCAACACTTTAATAATTTTAAAATTTTAATTTACAAAATTTTCTATGCAGAATTAACTGAGGTATATCCATTTTTGGACCATAAATTTTGGCAGAAGAGTGCAATTTTGCTAGGAAACCTTTAAGGAAAATTTTCTTTAGGTTAATATTCATTAATATTAAAAATACTTTTAACATTCTGCCCCCGATTACCAAGCAATCTGAGGAGATAAGCGCCTGGTTCTTGAAGACGCAAGCATTTATCCTTTTCAGCAACGCTTTAAAAATTTATTTTTTTATTAGATTTTTGAAAATTTAAATTTTAAAAATAATTTTGGAATTTTTCAAGCTTTTAGGGGAAATATTTGTAGACAAAATCGAAACTTATTTTCCTTAATTTGACAAAAACTTATCACTATGTCATGCTTAATACCATTAAAATTTGTCGTTTTATAATTTATATTTTCATAAGCATTTTCTTATGATCGGGTTTAGGATCGGAAAAAGTTCGGGTATAAGGGAACCCGACCCATCCCTGCTTTCATAAACATTTTTTATTTTTAAAAATTTAATATTTTTTAAAGATAATTTTGGTTAAAAATTTGGGTTGCCAAATGGACTGACTCGGCCCGAAAGATCGAGTCGGGCCTAAGATATTTGGCCCGAAAAACTCATACAGCCCGACTCGATAAAAATGAGGCACGAAAAAGTGGCTCGACCGTCGGCCCGACTCGGTAACTGCGACTCTATTAAAAATAATATACCCATGAAACCCTGATTGTTATATCGTATAAAAAATTTTGTGGGTTTTTGTAAGTATTCCCCAATCATTGTCCAAATATTTTTTTATTTTTAAACCTAAGGCTGTAAGCACTACTTTTCTCTTGATCACTAAATAAATCAAGCCATAATTCTTGAGAATCGAGTTGACGGGAAAGCTGTGAAAATACGCCATATGAAAGTTGAGATAAATTTGTTGTTAAATCAAAACATGGACTCATAGAAGGCAAAAAAAATTTTTTTAATTTAAATTTTAAAATAAATTATGTTTAAAAAATATAAGAAAATTTTTAAAAATTTTTAATAAAAGCTAATACGAAGTTTATGTATTTATTAATGTGAATTTTAATTATTAATGGCAGTACATCACAAAATATACTTATAATTATAGTTAAGTGTAATAATTAGAGACTGGACCGAGACGAGATATCGATCAAAAATCTCGTTTATCGAGATGAGATTTTTTGAGATTTCAATTGTTGCACGACCCTCCCAGTTGAAAATTTTTGAATTTTGGAAATTTTTGAAGATAAGTAGTCAAATTTCTTCCATTTTTACAAAAAAGTGAATTCTTAGAAGTGTATAGCCTCGGCCCTGGCGAGGTTTTTGGCGAGGATCAAGACGAGATTCCGAGACCCGAGGCAGGTCAACCCGAGACCGAGATTCTAAAACGAACGAGAACCCCGGCTTACGCGAGGCCTCGACCTCATCCAACTCTAGTATAAATATGAGATTTTTTGAAATTTCGATTCTTGTACGACCCTTCCAGTTCGGTCTCTCCACACAATACAAAACTTTATAGTAGTCAAATGAGATAAGAATTAATTGAGGAAATAATTTAAAATGAGGTACTTCAAATGAGGTACAGCAGCTATGAATTAATTTTCTGTTACAAACAAAACCCCTCCTTTCATGAAACGTCAATAGGCTGTAAGAAAATTTAAAAATTCAGAAGAAAAAAATTTAAATTAAATTATTTACGTGGATTAAATTGGTCATATTCAGTAGGGTTGTACCCCGAACGCTCGGGGGCGGGTATGTCGGGGTACGGGGTTTTCGAATTGTTTCGGGGCGGGGTTCGGGTCGGGGGAGCAAAATATGGTCGGGGTTCGGGTCGGGGTACGGGGATTTCCTGGAAAAATTTTAAAAAAAAAATGCTCAAAAATAAGCAGTTTTCGGTCTATTTTCGTTAATTTATTCAGAAATTAAGGGGGAGATGGAGGAATTAGAGATTATATAAGAGGTTTTTAGGGATTAAATGGGATTTGAAGGCATTAAGGTGTATATCTGCGGATATAAGAGGATTTGGAGGAATTAAGGAGCGATTAACTGTATCAGTAATTTTAAGGGATGATGAGAGAGGCATATGAAGAAATTGAGAGGGATATAAGTGGATATGGACGTATCAGGGGATCCTTGATATCCCTCTTAATCTTCATTACTCAGTTTATATCCTTTTTCACCGCCGCAGGCGAAAATTTTGGGAATTTTGGAAGGCCGGAAGGAAGATTTCTTACATTTTCAGAGCCGCAGGCGAAAATTAGAAAATTTTTTAGGTCATAAAGCCGGATTTCTTTGTTTTATAGCGCTGCACACGAAAATTTTTGAAATTTTCGTGTCAAAAAACTAAACAAAAAATCTTTGCATTGTTTTTTATAGTTGATAATATTAAAAAATAAGATTAACATTTTAAAATTAAAATTAAACTCTTGTTTTTGTAAAGAAAAATACAAAACTAACGCGTTATGCTTATCTGGATCCGAACACAATCCCATATTAATGAAAATGTAGGCTAAAACCAAAAACTAAGCCACTCAACCACAAGTCTCTTACCGTAAGGGAAGAGAATTTTAATATTTTATTCACTTTTCTTTCAAAAATATTAAAGGCAATGTAATTTTGGGAGAAATTTTTTTTAATTTTCTTCATTAATTTCTCCCAAAAATGGCATTTTTTTGGGTATATAAAACCCCGAAACCCCGAAAATTTTTCGGCCGGGGAACGGGGTTTTCACTTTTTTTCGGGGCGGGGTTCGGGTCGGGGAGAATCGTGAAAAAATCGTTCGGGAACGGGGTCGGGGTTCGGGGTCGGGGTACAACTCTAATATTCAGTAACAACGGTGGGTTGTTGCGTATTCTGGTTATGTGGTACCTGCTGAGAGAATTGCTGTTTAAGATTTATATTGATATTTTAATTTAGACAAGACATTGATAAATTTAAGAATAGGGGGATTTTTATTCCGAGAAAAATTAGTTCGTTTATATGTACAGAATGGTCAGACTTTCCTTCCTCTAGTTCGTTCAATTTCCTTGTGGCAGATTTACCTAATAAGAATTGCTGGAGCTGATGATGGTGAGGTTCTGATTGCTGGAGCTGGTGATGGTGAGGAAAAGAGTCTGACCATTTTGTACATATAAATGAAAAAACTTGGGGAAGAAAAAAGGTGAACCCTAAGCCTTGCTTACCCTTTTATAGGGTACACCCCAACGTACCGCGAGCCCAACGTACCGCAGAGCTATAACTTTTTTCAAAATGGTCGAATCCGGGACGCCTTGGTATGGGTCGATGCATCTCGACGAGCTGAATCGAACCATATCAGGGCGTCCCGGATTTGACCATTTTGAACAAAGTTATAGCTCTGCGGTACGTTGGGCTCGCGGTACGTTGGCCTGCTCCCCCTTTTATATTAGGGTTATATTAGGATGTATTGTAAATAAATACATCCTTCTAATATAGCCAAAATGTAAAATTTTACATTGTCATAACTAAAATCAGCTTGTTTGGTGAACTCATAGCCATTCGCCTGCTAAAAAAATTATTAGTCTAATCATAGAGGCTAAAAATTTTACGTTTCCATAACTACAGCTAGGTTGTTGAACGTTGTTATTATACAGAGGATCAACAAATTCGTTAGCGGGCTAGAAAATTAAAAATTATTTTATAATCATTGAATGATTTGTCATTGACTGATTGAAAACTTAAAAAAATTTTTTTTAATTTACATTTCCATAGCCAGCACCTCCAACATTTGTACGTTGTGGAACAGAATCATAGCCATTCTAGAAAAATCAAATAGATAATAATAATAAACAAAAATTAACATTTCTCTGTGGTACATGTTCATATGAATTATTGCCAACATTAGCTCTCTGTCTCTAAAAATTAAAATTCCATAAATCAAGGAGTATTTAAGTATAAAATGCCACAAAAAATCTTTTGTGTATTGGTGTCACTATGGTACAATGACCAGGGTTAGCATCAGTCTAATACTAGCTCGGCTAGTCCCTGATCTCTTCCGTCTGGTCCAACCTTAATAATGTTCATGCCGCATAAGCCCCGCCCCTTTCGTGCACGTCTACTTTAACAAATCTCGGACAACTGTCGGACATAACAAATAATTGGGCTTTGCCCGCATTTGTCAAGTCCTGTCGACTGCGAAGTGTTATGTATGTGCTAGGGTTGTCGTGATTTACCAATGTAGACGTGCATAATTATCGAAATAATTAAGAATAAAAATTCTTACACCGACACTAGCATTATTACCCATGTTGTGTTGCTGATGTTGAGGATTAGTATAGTCTACAAAAGGAAAATTAAATAAAAAAAAGAGCTAAAAGGCCAACTACGTACAAGGTATACGCTGTAGAAGGTCTTGGGAAAATTGTTGCTGTTTTTCGAATGCCGTTTTCCAATGGTCATTATCATTTTCATATCGTCGGTTATCCTGAGCAGTATTTGACTATAAAATATTTTATAATCGTCGATCGTTTAAAAGTAGAAAAGAATGCGAATATAGTTAAATGAATAAAAATAGAGTATTAGTGTAGTTTACGTCCCATAAGCCCCGCCCACATTCGTTTCCTTATAAAGTGACAGTTGGGTCAATATTTTCATTTATTTAGCCCTTCTTTCTCCCAACAAAGGAAAATCTGACTAAAAATGAAGAGAAAGGGGCGGGGCTTATGGGGTGTAAACTACACAAGTACCAAAAATATACTACCTAAATTATTTGTTAATTTAAAATTTACATTTCCAAAAGCAGGTACTCCAACTTGTGTATTTTGTGAAACATAAACCGAGATTGTAGGCTAGAAAAATTTTTAATTGTTTAAAATTTTTCGGAAAGAAAAATTCACATTAGCTTGTGGCATTGAATTTCCATAAAAATTACCACCAGAATTAGGTGCTCGCTGCCCCTGAAATATAATAAATATACGACACACGCTAATCTAAAGTAGGGTAGATCGCAGTCCCAACCCTAATTTTTTCTGGCAAAAACCCCGACCCGAATCCCGATGGCTCTACCCCGGCAAAACCAGATCCCAACCCTGAAGAGCTACACTAATCTAAGGAATATGAAGAGTTTAAAAATCCGTTTTTCTTCTAATATTAAGTGATTGGATGGTAAAGACGTTTGGGATAATTAGAAAGGACGCAGAAAGCTATACTATTCATCAATGCTCTCATGATATTAAAAACAAAAATCTTTACTTGAGCAAAACCACCACCACCCCCACCATTATTATTATAATTATTATTATTCATATTCGGTCGTTGTTGATTATTTGAAAATGAACTACCACCACCCCCGCCACCATAATTATTATAATTATTATCCATATTCTGTCGTCGTTGATTATCTGAAAACGAATTTCTACCACCACCACCATAATAATTATTATTCGGTATTTGTTGATTATCTGAAAACAAAAAAATTAAAAAATTAGAAAATATAAAAAAATTTCAAAAATAAAATCTTATGGAAAAAATATTTAAAAATTTGTTTAGTTATTCATTAAAATACAAACTAGGCAAAGACTTTAAGAGGCAATCAGTAAGATACTTATTTTGTTGAGTTAAATACTTATTATCATCTTTTAAAGCATTTTTATCTTGTTCAAGTTGGGTAATCCTTCCGCGTAAAGTTCGAATTTGTCTATTTTTTTCTTTAATCTGATCATTCTTTTCATTAATAATATCGTCTTTTTTCTTAAGCTGAGTCCCTGATGACGTTTTGCTTTTCTGATATTTTAATTAATTTACTAGTATAAAACACTAAGGACCTTTTTTAAATCCAAATCGACTACTTTAACTCCTCCTATTTCCTTTTTTATACTTAATTCCAACGAATCGCCAGGCAAAACTTGATCAAAATTGTATTTTATATCATCTCCTTCCTCACCAAAAACATTATACAACTTGACGCGTTTGTTGGCGAGAACATGGGAAGTTAACAAACTACGCTAAATTGTTTGGAATTTTATAGAATTTAGTGAATAATAATTGTAAATAATTAGTTTTCCGGAACATCAAATTATCATACTTTCCGGAAACATTTTTTCCGGAAATAGAAAATTATAGAAATATGTCTATCCTTCCTCACGAAAGAATAGTAAATAAACTTTCCGGAATATAATAATATAAAAATTAAGTAAACTTTCCGGAAAATTATACTTTCCGGAAACGAACTATTAATCATATGGGAATAAAAAGTTTCCGGAATATAGATTTAATATTATACAGTCGTGGAAAAAAGTATGGAAGCGCTAGAAAATTTTTTCTTAATTTTTAATTTTTCATTCAAAAAATACGTTCTATATACCAATCGAAAGCTCTATTCGTATCTCAGTTGACATGTTTCTGCATTTTTCATGAAAATGAAAATTGGCCGAGATAATCCGGATCTACCGGATATACCAAATCCCACTTTTTCGGAAAAATTTTTCGGAACAAATTTAACAAACCCAAATGATAAAGCATATTTTTGTGAGCATTTACCACAAAACCGCTTAGAAATATCTTTTTCCGGAGCAGAGATATGATTTTTTGAAAATCGCATTTTTCCCTTAAAAATTGAAATTTTTGCAAAAATTTCAATTTTTAAGGGAAAAATGCGATTTTCAAAAAATCATATCTCTGCTCCGGAAAAAGATATTTCTAAGCGGTTTTGTGGTAAATGCTCACAAAAATATGCTTTATCATTTGGGTTTGTTAAATTTGTTCCGAAAAATTTTTCCGAAAAAGTGGGATTTGGTATATCCGGTAGATCCGGATTATCTCGGCCAATTTTCATTTTCATGAAAAATGCAGAAACATGTCAACTGAGATACGAATAGAGCTTTCGATTGGTATATAGAACGTATTTTTTGAATGAAAAATTAAAAATTAAGAAAAAATTTTCTAGCGCTTCCATACTTTTTTCCACGACTGTAAATATGAAGTAAACTTTCCGGAAATATATTTTCCGGAACATACTATATAATTATAGAAAATATATTCCGGAATACATATAACTTCCACTAAATTATAGTTTCCGGAATACCTATTTATTATTAATTTTTATTTGTCTTCAAGAGACTTACAGGTTTTGATGTTTCCCATTGAAAAACGGCCACATCTTTTTTAATAGTTGACTTTTCAGATTTAATATAATATCCAATAAAATAAGTATAATTTATTGGAAGACCAACCAATTTTATAATTCCAACCCAACGACTTTAAAAAATTTTTAATTTATTTATTTTAATTAAAAAATACTCGTCTTTGTCCTTCTTCAATTTTAAAGCTTTATTAACCTTCAAATTTCCAAGTTTTATACTTGACCCTGTTACAAAAACAAAATGTTTGTCCAAAACAGGGAAAGGAACAGAAACGGAAAAATAAACAGTAATAACCATTTATTCCTGAAAAAATATTAAAATTATTGTGTGACTTTTAAGGCTAATTTTCATTGAACTAGGCATAAAATAAATGATAAAAATGATTTAAGCACATGTTAATGACCCAAACCTTTCAAGATTTGGTCGATTTTAATTGTTTTATATACGAAGTTGTCTGGAACTCTTCAAAATATATTTTCAGATTATTTTCAATTTTTATTGAGAATTTATATATCAAGAATATAAGCTTTAATTTTAATGCTAAAATAAGCTTTTCATCATACATTAGTGCAAAAATTATTTTGAAGAAATGGAGGGCAAGAAACGCAAAATCGATGTATATTTTTCCTATTTTCTTATATATAGAGTGTGTATTTGTTCCGTGTCAGGCAACTCACGGAATGGACAAGCTAGAAAATAAATAGTAAATATAGGTAGTTTAACTTTTCAGAAAAATATTTACAAAAAATTAAGATTAAAATCAAATAAACTAAGCAAAAAATATATTCATAGAATAAGCAAATCAAACCATAATTCTTATGAATAAATAGTAAAAGCATGTTTATAATTTAATTCTTAAAGCTATGCAAGTGGGTGTAATGGATAACACATCAATCAGTCCAACTGAAGATAACCTTTTGTACTAACCGAAGGTGAAATACAAAGTAGTTACAATTCTGCTTTACTTTATGAAAAGTGACCGCTCTCACCCAATAGAATAAGGTTGGTATAAAATTGTTTGTCAAATCAAAAGATAAATTTATCAACTTATTTAAAGCAGAAAAATATTTTTTATGCAATTTTATATTTAAAATACATGTGTAAATTATAGTTTAAAAAATATTGTGAAAAACGAAAAAAAAACAATTTTTAAGAAAATTGTATTAGCATAAGTTTAAAATTTAAGAATGTATATAATTTAATTTATGGCACATCAAAAACTTTTTTTTGTAAATATAGTTAAGTGTTATAATGATAAGAAGAAAGATCAGATATAAGTGAGATACATACTCAAAAATGAAAAGGCAAATTAATTTTGAGAATTTTTTGATTAGCTGCAAGAGTAGATTTAGGAAAGGATACAACAAAAGTATAAACCCCCAAAATTAAGAATAGAAGGTATATACCAAGGGTGGGTCGGAACAGTTGAGGTGTCGGAAATCGGAAGAGCCGGAAATCGGAACTGGCTCAAAAGTCGGAACTCGGAAATAAAAAATTTTTTTCGGAAATTGGAAGTCGGAAATCGGAATTCCGACCCAACTCAGGTATATACTAACACGGAACCATCGTTTACTGTGACTGCGAATTTGATATAGTTTTTGGTACCATTCGATAGATTGAGGATGAAAAAGAGAGAAATTATTTATTTACCCTATAACTTTCGACTATAGCAGATTAAATTTGAACGGCCATAACATGGCCCAAACTAATTTTGCAAGAAAACCCGCACACAACAATAGTAAATCGAAGGTCCTCTATCGAATGGTACCAAAAAATATATCAAATTCACAGTCACAATAAACGATGGTTCCTTGAAAGTGTAAAAATTAAATTAAAACTGGATAGAATAAAAATCAAAAATATAAATCAACATCATCGGCTAAGAAATAAATTTTTTTAAAAATCAAAACCAACACATCAACTCGTTAAGAAAAAGACTTAATTGTTTAAAAAAATTTTTTTTAATTTTAAAAATTCAATAGAAACGTTTACTTCCAGTAAATTGTCATTATGGAGGGCCAGTATTAGTAGAGGTCAATTGTTGCATAGGCTAAAATAGAACACAATTTTAAGGTTAAAAAATTATAATTTTAAATAGATACATCAAAATACGCATCAAACGTTTCCAAAAATGGCTGAAAAAAAATATTTTTCATGATTAAAAATTATATCGAATTAAAAATATTTACATCTCTAACAGTGATAGTTTGATTATTTGTTGATTGCGGAGGCACCTAAAAATTTTTGTTATATTTCAAAATTGCTTAGGTATATTAATGATGGTTAAATGTAAATCCAGTAAATTGTCAATATGTAGGGCCAGTATTACTAGATAAATTGTGAACGTTAAAGCAGAATAGTGTAGTTTACGTCCCATACGCCCCGCCCCCTTCTTACTCTTTTTTTTTAAAATACAGGACATTTTTTCGAACAATTTTTAGACCACCCTTGCTTTAAATTCTCCTATAAATTTAAAGTGTCAATTAAATTTTTACATTAAGTTGTTGAACATAGCCAGTGTGAGGTTGATTCAAATTTTGATAATTTATCCCACTAGCATAGGTTGTCTGTTGAGCAACAAGCATATTTGTCTAAAAATATTTTTTTAAACATTTGTGTCGTTTAAAAAGGGAGTGAGGGGATATCAGATAAATCGTTTAACGTTAAAGTGGACTTGTGCAGTTTACGTCCCACACGCCCCGCCCCTTTTTACTCTTCCTTTTCTTGAAACGTGAAATCTTGGTAAATATTTTAATTTTATTGATTTCAGACATTTACCTTTCTGTATAAAAAAGAGAAGAAAGTAGGCGGGGCTTATGGGTCGTAAACTACACAAGTACTAAAAATAGATCTAAATTTGCTAATTTTTAGCAAAAAATATTTTTTTTGATTTTAAAATTCACATTATAGACTCCTTGTTGAGTAACCTGTCGAGCAAAGACATTTGTCACTGTCTAAAAAATATTTTTAATTATTGTTTTAAAATTAAATAAAATCAAGTAATTTATAGATTTTTAACAAAAAATATTTTTTAATTAAAAATGTACATTTCCAACGCCTTGAGAACCAAATTGTTGTGTAACAAAAACGGAGACAGGATTCTAAAAAAATTTTTTAATTGGTTTAAGCAGCAAAATTTGATGTTTGTGAACTTTGTATGACTCAATATTTTTATTTTCCTCCCATTTACCCTCTTGTATGCCTTTTTGTACCTTTATACATCCATATATATAATTCCTGATTTATTTAGCGAAAACAATTGGTTTTTGTTGATGGTTAAAGGGGTTCACTCCTAAATATCGACACCCAAAATATCGTCACCCTAAATATCGTGGGTACTTTTCCGTTTTGTTACACCCCCTATATTAATGCTTAAAATGTCATATATAGGTTAAAAAATGGTGCTGAGTTGAACGGTGCCCTTTCTTTTCCCCGGAAATGCTTGTGGGGCGAGATACGAGGCTCGAAAATGGTTTTGGGTGTCGAAATTCTGGGGTGGAGTCGTTTAAAGTGTTGGGTGTTGTTGTGGTGGAGTGTAGAGGGGAGGGGGTGTATTACCCCAACAACACTGAGTAATATAATGGAAATGGAAGAAAAAAGGGGTCATAAAAAGTTCAAAATTTTCCAAAAATTTACATTCGCTTGTGGCATTGTGGTTGTGACATATGGTTGTTGTGGAAAGACATTACCAACATTTGCTGCCCACTGTTCCTAAAAAATTAAAAATAATACTATCTCAAAGATTGGGGAATGGGCATTTTAAAAAATGTTCCTTCCGTGTTAATGAATGGAAGGTAAAGATGGTATGAGATAAATGGGAAAAATCTCAAAAAGTCCATCACTCATTAGTGCTCCCATGATATTAAATGTCTTTTTACTTGTCCAAAAGCACCACCAGCAGGAATATTCTGTCCAAGGTTGTTGTTATTTATAATGGGCTGAAGCTGCAGATTTTGTTCATTACCACCACCAATGTTATTATTCGGTTGCTGCTGCTGTTGGTTATCTGAAAACGAAAAGATAATTAGGTAGATAAAAGATCAAAAATCCTCTGATTAAAAAGGTAACACTATGTATATTTATGTTATTAAATCACAAACTCGGCTCGTATCCTAAAAGTCTATTCGTTAGAAATTCAACTCTTTGAGTTAAACCATCATTAGCATTTTGCATTCGATCATTAGCATTTTGCATTCGCTCAATTAATTGCCGATCTGACTGTTTATCTCGCTCAAGTTCAGTTACACGTTGTTGTAAAATTTTAATTTGTTTATTTTTGTGAGTAATTTGTCTTTTACGTTTTTTTAATTCTTTCTCCTTCTTTTTAAGTTCAGCTTTTTTAACCATTTTTGAATTACTCTAAAAATTATTTATAAAACAAAATAATTTTTAGTTAGAAAAAAATAAAATATTAAACTAAGAAGCCTACATATATTAAAGCATTTCCGGAAAAAAATAAATTCCGGAAAAAGTTAAGTTTGATCTTAGCGTTTAATTATTGATAATGTTTAATTCGGAACAGTTTGTGTGTAAACAGCACCCTATAATGAATATACACACAAATAATCTATATTTTCGTTATAAAGGTTAAAAAAATTTAAATTTATGCCGTAGAAAATGAGGAAAATGAGTTAAGGTTGAATTTATATATTAACTAAAAATTTGTATACTCCCCCTTTTCAAATCATGAAAAAAAAATTTTTTAATAGAGAAGGACGACCCCAAACTATTAACCTAACATTTAAATATATCAAAGGCATACTAACAACATTTTTAAAGGCTATTTGCCTTTTTCCACTAAAATTAATCTCCCATAGATTAGAAAACTTAAAGTCGCTTTTCAAACCTTTATTTGACATAATTTCATCGAATCGCCAGGCAAAACTTGATCAAAATTGTATTTTATATCCTCTCCTTCCTCCCCAAAAATATCATGCAACTTGACACGTTTGTTGCCGAAAACATGGGAAAAATTCAAACTACGCTAAATTATTTAAAAATTTTAAAGTTTAATGAATAATAAATGTAATTATTATAAAAGAATATTAATTAGTTTTCCGTAGACATTATACATATGTATTTACCGGAAAACAAATATTAATCATATGTATAAGTTAAATATTTTCAGGAATGTACTAGGCGCCTATAATTCATATCTTTCCGGAAACTATATATTTTCCGGAATATAAATATTAACCGTATAAAATTAAATACTTTCCGGAATATAATAATTTCATAGCTAAAATAAGCTTTCCGGAAACTATATATTTTCCGGAATGTAAATATTAATCATATAAATTAAATCCTTTCCGGAATATAATAATTTCATAGCTAAAATAAGCTTTCCGGAAACTATATATTTTCCGGAATCTACTATATATTTTCCGGAATTCCGGAATCTTTTCAGGAATATATTAATCGTCTTTAATTGAATAAACTCTGAAAGTATTATATCTTCCGGAATAGCATATTACTCTCGCAAAGTTCTTTCCGGAAACTTTATATTTTCAGGAATATACATATAACTACATATAATTAAATAGCCTTCCGGAAAAATATTTTCCGGAATGTAAATATTAATTGTACAAAATTTTTATTCCCTCTAATAAATTACCCAAGGTTTCCGGAATATTTTTATTTAGTATAAATATTAAATTCCATAAACGACTTACAGGTTTTAATAATGTTTCCCATTGAAAAACGGCCACATCTTTTTTAGTTGACTGTTCAGATTTAATATAGTGTCCAATAAAATAAGTATAATTTATCGGATCACTACACAATTTTATAATTCCAACCCAACGACTTTAAAAATTTAAATTTTAATTTATTTTAATTAAAAAATACTCGTCCTTGTCCTTCTTCAATTTTAAAGCTTTATTAGCCTTCCAATTGCCAAGTTTTATACTTGACCCTGTTACAAAAACAAAATGGTTGTCCAAAACAGGGAAAGGAACAGAAACGGAAAAATAAATAGTAACCATTTATTCCTCTAAAAAATATTAAAATTATCATAATTTCAAAATTGACGTAAAAAATGGCGAAATCTTATTTTTATCTTTAAAAATCCAAAAATAATTTATTTTAGCATTTTGGCATTAAAGTACAAAATTTTTTCAACGTTTATAATAGGGAAATTTTGGGCTAAAACAGGATATATCTCTAATAATATGTACTAATACATAAGCATTTTCAATGGCAAACTATTAGATGAAAGGAGGGCGAGCGTAGAATCGATATATTTCGTCGTATTTAGTTGCATGTTTCATCATGTTTGCAGTGAGTGTTTGTTCCTTATATTGTTTTTAATATTTTATATTTTTGTGTATTTTTACTAACAAAACCTTCCGGAAATAACTTTCCGGAAAATATAAGTAATACAAAATCAAGTAGAATTAGACCCTTTGGAGACATTATAGTATTTTCCGGAAAATAAATTGTAAAATAAATTTAACTTTCCGGAAACATATTTTCCGGAAAATAAATTGTAAAATAAATTTAACTTTCCGGAAACATATTTTCCGGAAAATAAATTGTAAAATAAATTTAACTTTCCGGAAACATATTTTCCGGAAAATAAATTGTAAAATAAATTTAACTTTCCGGAAATATATTTTCCGGAAAATTAACATAATAATCAACTAATCTAGAAAAATATGTATATAAAATTTTCATGGAATTAATTCAAGTCATACTCCTTGAAAATAAAGTTGACGGGAAAGCTGTTATAAAACACCTCATGTATTAAAATTGAGATAAATTTGTTGTCAAATTAAAACGTTAACTCTAAAAAATTTTATTTAAGTTTTGGATAAATTGCTTTAAGAAATATATTTGAAAGACAAAAATTTTTTGGAAAAATTTTTTAACAAAATTGAAAAAAAATTAATTTTAATAAAATTCAATGTGAAAGTTTAAATATTTATTTATTGTTGTAAATTTTATAAATGGTACATTACAAAACTTTAAATCGAACATGAATAAAAAAATAATTTAAATGATATCCATATAGGAAACAATAAACATCAGTTTTTGTAAACAAACTTAGTTTAATTTCGAACGTTAAAATGTCAAAAAATAAATTTTTAAATTCAAAAAAAATTTTTTTACTTCGATTATGCTGTCTATAAGTGCTCATATGTAGTGGGTTGTTGCATGTTATAATTAAGAGGAAAATGCTGAGGCAGTGGATGATTCGGTTGATGAGGCAATTCTTGAGGCGGCTGCTGATAAAAATTTATATATTATTTTGATTTTGGACAAGACGTTCTAGGCGTCAATTTAAATTTTTAATGCAAAATTCAAGACTTAGAGCATATTTTTATTAAAAAAACACCCCCCCTCCCCAAAAAACTCCAAGACTTCTAATAAAATCAGAATATATGTATTAATTTTAAAATTTACATTGCCATAACCATAACCAGCAGTTTGAAAGTCATTAGCCGGCTAAAAATTTTAATCAGGAAAAATATTATATTAAAAAGAAAAATTCTTACATCAAAAACATTAGCCATATTTGGTTGAGGTCGTTGAGGATTATCTAAAAACGGAAGAGATAAAAACGAACTGAGTATTGTAATTGTTGTGTATGGGCGACAGCCCTTAAAGTGTTTAGTATAAAAGCCAGTATAAGCGTCAGTCTAGTCGGATCATACTAGCGGGGTTAGTCACTGATCTCCTTCGTCTGTTCCATTCCCTTCGCCCACACATTGTTTATTTCTACGTCGGATAAAGTGTTATTATTGTGCTCGTCGACATTAGTTAAATCTCGGACACTTCGGGTCGTAACAGTAATTAAAAGAAAGAGAATATTTAAAAATATTAACAAAATAAATTATCAAAATACACACTTTGTCGAGGTACACGCTGCATAGCTTGATCTGCTATATTCAGACATTTTTCTGCAAAACGTTGCCAAACACGTTTATCATTTTCTAATCGACGGTTTTCTTGTTCAAGAAAATTAACTCTCATTTGTAATTTATTAATTTGAACATCTCTGTCTCTAATAATATCATCTTTTTCGCGAAGTTGTTCATGGGTTACCATTCTTGTGGATTTTGATTTTTTCTAGAATTTAAAGGAATATTTATAAAAAAAGTTAAAACTTTTAGGAAGAAAAAGGGAAAAATTAAAATTTTATGGAAAAACATCAGAAAAGTATTCCGGAAAAGATGAAGAAATATTTTAATACTTTCCAGAAATTATAGAATAAATAAAGCTAGGATATATCGGAAAAATGACATGATAATTTTTAATAAAATAAAAATGTTAAATAGTCACGCATGGAATTATCTATCACATAAAATCATAAAATTATCAAACCTTTTTCTGATCCAAATCGAGTCGTTCAACCCCATAATCCTCAAGTTTCCTTTTCCTACACAATTTTAACGAATCACCAGGCACCCTCAACGCAACTTGGTTCATATCTCCACCGGAATTGTAATTTAAATCCTCCCCTTCCTCACCAAAAACATCACGCAACTTGACACGTCTGTAGCAGAAAACATCGTTAAATTCCAAACTACGCTAAATTATTTGAAATTTTTTATAAAATTTAGGGAATAACAAATGTTTTAATTATTAAAGAATAATAATTATTATTTTTCGGAAACATTTCGGGATATAAATATTAATTGACTATAATTAAATAGCTTCCGGAATAGTCTATAATTAAATAACTTTCCGGAAAATATATTCTCCAAATATTGGAGAATAATAAATGTAATTATTAAAGATTTATTTTTTCCGGAAATATATTTTCCGGAATATAATAATCATATAGAAATTAAATAAACTTTCCGGAAAGTATACTTAACCTACCTCAATTCTCCGGAATATTTATGAAATTAAATAGTTTTAGTATAAAAATTCAATAAATTTTCCGGAAACATGATATTTTCTGGAATATAATATTTATATAGAAATTAACTTTCCGGAATACTTTTATTTTCCGGAATATATTAATATTATAAAATCATATATTTTCCGGTATCTAATAATCGTCTTAAATTAAATCTTTCCGGAAACTTTATTTTCCGGAATATAATATTAACCGTTAAAAAGTTATCTTCTCCCCCTAATAAATTACCTAATTAAACTTTCAGGGATATAATAATCACATAGTGATTAGATTAATTTTCCGGAATATTTTTATTTTCCGGAATATAAACTTACAGGTTTTACTAATGTTTCCCATTGAAATATGGCCAAAACTTTTTCATTTTCCTTTTCAGATTTAATATAATGTCCAATAAAATAAATAAAATTTATTGGCTCATACAAATAAGCAATTCCAACCCAACGACTTTAAAAATTTTTAATTAATTTATTTTAATTAAAAAATACTCGTCTTTGTCCTTCTTCAATTTTAAGGCTTTATTAGCCTTCCAATAGCCAAGTTTTTTACTTGACCCTGTTACAAAAACAAATTGGTCATCCAAAACCGAGAAAGGAACAGAAACGGAAAAATAAATAGTAACCATTTATTCCTGAAAAAATATAAAGAATTACTAAAAGTATTGTTGTTATAACTTCCAAATTTACATTAAAAAGCGGAGCAAATTTACAATTTTCAAATTTCCAAATTTACAATCTTAAATTTTATTTTTTTAATTAAAGACTTAAAATATATTTTATCATTTTGGCCTTAAAATTAAGAATATTTTCGACATTTTTGGGAAAACTGGATAAGTATACTACTAATATTAGTACTAACATAAGCATTTTCATAGTATACTTTAATGGCAGAAAATTAGTTGTAGGAAGGGAGGGCGAGCACGTACACATAAAAGATCGATTTATTCCTCTCGTTTACTTGCCTTTGTTTCATCATGTTTTTAATATTGTTTGTTAAATGTTTTTTATGTTTTTACATTTTACTATGTACTGTTTATTTACTAGAAACTTTCCGGAAATAATATAGCTTTCCGGAAAATACATAATATAAACAAAGTAAACTTTCCGGAGACATTATATTTTCCGGAAAATAAATAATGTAATAAAGTACTTCAATTAAGTTCATTTTCCGGAAACTTTATATTTTCCGGAAAAATTAACGGTAAAATTAAATAATTTAAAAGAATTTTCCGGAAAGTAGTTATTTATAAGTACAGGGTGTGGCAAATTGGCGGCCGCTTTTCTTTTTGCTATAACTTTTTTAATTCTTAATGAAAATCGTTAATTCTTTTTTTACTGGATTACCAACACTCTAAGAATTTTTTTGGTGCCAAAAAATAGAAATTTGGTACAAGTATGGTAAAGATAAGCCGGTCCAAACATTTAAAAGCATCAAAAAACATTTTTTCTGGTCAAATTTTAATTGATCATAACTTCGTCAAAAATGATTCAATCCCGATGATTTTAGTATCAATCGATTCAGGCGCATCGAAATAGCTTATAATCTCATCTTTGAAAATTTTATCCAAAAATTTTGTATTTGCCAAAATTATTTTAATAAATCATTCAGTAAGCCATATCTCGGTCCATTTACGGTATAGACACCTGATTTTGGTGTCTTCGAATCAGATTGGAGAGCTGATTCGAATGATATATAAATTTCTCATATCAAATTTATGGCCTTGAATCTAGGCCAGCTTTTATTCAAAAAATTTAACTTAAAATTTGAGAGATTATTAATCAAACTAAATTATCAAATTTAGAGGCGATTTTGCTATCACAAAAATTCTTAGAGTGTCAGGAATCCAGCAAAAAAAAGAATTATCGGTTTTCATTAAAAATGAAGAAAGTTATAGCCAAAAGAAAAGCGGCCGCCAATTTGCCCCCTGTACTTAAGTGGGCAAATTGCCCCCCGCACCCTGTACTTAAGTTTATGCCTTACTAAAAAATCTTTTTCATTAAGAATAGTTTATTTTGCAAAATTTTAATTCTAATTTTCAATTAAAAATGTCAACACAAACATCAAAAACTTCTCAAAATTCATCAACAAATTTAGCAGAAACAACAAATTCAGAAGAAATTGATTTGGTAGAAAAATCGTTACGGGCAAATGGATGTTGGGAGACTCATTTAACTTTGTCTGAATGTGTGGCTGATAAAAGGGATTGGAGAGCGTGTCAATCAGAAGTTAAATTATTGCAGGATTGTATGAAGAAGGCGAATGAGAAGAGGAATTTAAAGAAATAAATTTAAAAAAATTTTTTTGAAAATTTATTTTGATTAGAAAAAATTGTTTATTTATTGATTTTTAATAAAATAAAATTTTATACATTATTTTTAAAAAATAAAATTATAATTAAATAGAAGTATGGATGCTCAATATTATATTTTTCTAAATAATTATTTGTTAGTTGTATTTTTAAAATATAAAAACTTTCCGGAAATAAAAATATAATATTCAGGAAAAAATACAACTTTCCGGAAGTTATATTACTTTATAGTTTCCGGAAATGAAGTAAAAGTTTCCGGAAGAAATAGAACTTTCCGGAAAGAATAACTATCGGAATAATATAAAAACTCCGGAAATTGTATTATATGCTTTCAGGAATTTACTATAAAACCTTCCGGAAATATAATAAAATTTTCTCTAACAATAAAAATCTTTTCCGGAAAATATATAACTTTCCGAAAATAACTACCGGAAAAATATAACAACTTTCCGGAAATTATATTATACACTTTCAGGAATTCACTATAAATATAACCTTCCGTAAATAAAATAAAATTTTCCCTAATAATACAACTTTCCGGAAAGAGTATAACTTTCTGGTAAAGTAAGTAACTTTCCGGAAAATATATATAACTTTCCGGAAAGTGTATAACTTTCCGTAAAGAGTATAACTTTCCGGTAAAATAAATAATTTTCCGGAAATTATACTAATATAAACCATTTCCCGTAAATAAAATTATAATTTTCTTTCCGTAATATCAAGCAAAAATAAAAAGTTTAGCAAAATAAAATATTTTAATAAGTAGCAGATAGAGAACGAATAAATTCGTCAGCTTCCTTATCCTCTTTTCTAGAAGCTAATACAGCCATAATTGTTGGATTAGTTACTGGAATGTAAAAATAATTTTCTAAAAATTAAACTAAAACCTCTAGAAGAAGGATGAGTTAGTACCAAATTAAATTGTAAAGGGAGAGTGCTTCCAGTACGTGAAAGGGGGTTGTTGGTAACGGAAGATGAATTGTTAGCCTTAATTTTTTAAATATTAAAAATAGGGTAGTTTTTTGGAAATTTTAAAATTTAAGTAGAGTTTGGATTTATAGGTAAGTAGCCTAAAACACGAAAAATAATAATAAGCAAAAATTTCCGAAAAGTATAAGCTTAAGTAAAATTGAATTAACTCCTTCCGGAAAACAAATATTAGGAGTCATATAAAATTAAATAAACATTCCGGATTATATATATGTAAACATTATATATATGTAGTTTCCGGAAACGTGTAGTTTCCGAAAATATGTAGTTATATATGTAGCTCAGGTATATTTTAATAAAAGTTCCGGAAAACAATAAACTTTCCGGAAAAAAATATTGAGAGTTATACGTATAAAAATAAACTTTCCGGAAACATTATATATATTTTCCGGAAACTATAAACTTTACGGAAAATATATTTAAAAATTTCCGGAAAAGTATAAGGTCAGGTATATTTAAATAAAATTTCCGGAAACTAAACCTTCCGGAAAAATATTAATAATTATATAAAATTAAAATAAATATTTCCGGAAACATTATAGTTTCCGGAAAATATAAACGTTCCGGAAAATACATTTTAAAATTTCATGAAAAGTAATATACGCTCAAGTTAATTTAAATATAATTTTCGGAAAACAAATATTAGGAGTTAACTTATATTTTCCGGAATTTTTTTTAATAAAATTATTTTTTACATTAGTTTCCAGAAAACACATTTTAAAATATTTATTACTTTAATTTGTCTAGTATTTCTATTTATTTGTTCATTCCGACTGTTTAAATTTGATTGACCACTTGATGATATTTTATCTGTAGCAAAACCAGGGACTTGTCTTAAATCGAGAAAGGCCTCACCAGCAAAATCATTAGACTAAAAATTATCTTTTTAAATTTTTTAATAAAATTATTTTTTACTTTGAGAAAATCATGATCCATAATAACAAAATGGGCAAGTGCACAAGGGGGTAGAAATGATGGAACATTACTTTAAAGATATTAAATTTAATTTTAAAAATTAATTTTTATTATTTTTTAATAATTTTTTCTCTCTCATGAATTTAAGAAAATTTTGAAAAAAAGATTCTAAATTAATTTCTGATCATTTTTAGGAGGTTCAAAAATAAAAAAAAAATTTCAAATAATCAAAAAAATAAATCCGGACAGAAAATAGACAGAAAAATAATTTTTTCCTCCTCACAAAAAAATTAAAAATTTATTTAAAAATATTATTAAACTAACAATTCAAAAGTTTCTCCAAAAACTGGATTTAGGCAAGAACTGACAACCTTAAAAATAATTTTTTGTAATTTTCCCAAAAAAATATTATTTTTCTCTTCAAATCACCTTAGTTTTTGCATTATTAATATCAGGAAAGTGCACTTTAGGTAATAATTCAATAACAACATACGGGTCACTTAAACCATTAGAATCTAGTGGAATTATTTGTTTGGCACTTAAAACTTCAATTACTAAAAGTTGAGAATTTGGATTAAAATAAGCACGTAGATTGAGTATTCCATATTTACATTCTGTTACCTTTAAAAAAATTTTTTGAAATTAAAAAAAGGAAAAAATTAATAAAATTGAGGGGAGGAAGCATAAGACGAATAAATTTCGGAATTTATAACTTTGCCTATAGAAAAGATAAAATGCTAAAATTTTTAGGAGTTATTTCCAATAGTGTCATCTAACAAATCTGAAAATTTCAGAATTTTAGGTTTAGTATTTCCAAAGTTATGAAAGAAAATGTCAGTATTTATTGATGAAAAAGTAGATTTTTAAATTTGTTTTCAGCCACATTTTCGAAAATATTTCCGGAAAAATACTGGAAAATTATGTATTCACCACAACTTTCCGGAAATTTAATTCGTCTCCGTACATAGAGGATTGACGAAGAACTTTATATTTTCCGGAAAATGAGCAGTATAAAATTACAAGTGAAAAAAACTTCCGGAAAACAAATATAAAAAATTATATAAAATTAAAAAAATATTTTCCGGAAACATTATAGCTTCCGGAAAATGAGTAATATAAAATTATAAGTAATATAACTTTCCGGAAACATTATAGCTTCCGGAAAATGAGTAATATAAAATTGTAAGTAATATAACTTTCCGGAAACATTATAGCTTCCGGAAAATGAGTAATATAAAATTGTAAGTAATATAACTTTCCGGAAACATTATAGCTTCCGGAAAATGAGTAATATAAAATTGTAAGTAATATAACTTTCCGGAAACATTATAGCTTCCGGAAAATGAACAGTATAGAATTATAAGCATAATAAACTTTCCGGAAAAAGTATAACTTCCGGAAAATATAATTAAAGAAGCGTTGCCCCTCATTTTATTAAATTTTAATATTTACTTCCTCTTGTGCTTTAATTAATTCACTATAATACAATTCTATCAAGTTTTCTGTAGACATTTGATAGATAGATATTTGTTCATGAAATTGTCTGTAATCGAGTGATTGAGCGAATGATTCAACAGAAATTCCCTTTAAATATTTTTAAAAATTAAAAAAAAAATTTTTTTTTACTTTTCCATCAGCATGAAAAAAATCTAATAGAATAGCAAGTGCATCAGTTAAACGACGATAAAATACAGGTTCTTGTCCTATATTTTCATTAACGCATTCTTGGAAGAGTTTGAGCAGTAAATGAACTTGTGAATACATTACACGTGTAAACTGGGGAAAAGAAAATATGTCAGAATTTTCCTTAAGAATTCTAAAAAAATCACAATATTTTGAAGATTTTTAAAAATCAGAAATTATGGTGATAAATCAGAATTTCTGATTTAAAAAGGTATAAAATCATAATTATGTCAAAATTAAAATCAGAATTAATATCAGAAGAATAACAAAATTATTCTGATTTTTATACTCAGAATTATTCTTATTTTCATGATTGAAACTTCTGATTTTAACTTTCAAAAAATCAGAATAATTCTAATTTTTATGACTTGAGGATTCTGATTTTAATTTTCTGATATCCCTCTTATTCTTATTTTTGTTATTATTTTTATTTTTTAATTTAAAAAATCAAAATTTAAAATTTTTTCTAATTTTACATTTCTATGTAAAAGGCAACGATGAACAATAGACAATTCTCCATCCAACAATTTAATTAAAGGTTTAAGGCAATCATCTGTTGGGCAAGCTGATGGACTCCAAACAAGATGAAAAATTGCCTTTTTAAATTATTTTTAAATTTAAATTTAAAAAATTTTTTTACTTTTTTGTATTTTGCTATTTGTCTACGAACAAATTGATCTTAAAAATAAATTTTTTTTTATTTGATAGCGAAATATTAAGAGGATAAACTAACCTATCAATGATTCAATCTGCTCCACAATGTTTTGACTACAATTATCTAATTGTTGTTCGATATGTGCACGCATTGAAGAACGCTCCTAAAATTAATAGAATGGAAGGAATTTTAAAAATTCTGGTTGTTCTGATTTAAAAATTCGACTTCCAGAAATAGAATTTCAGAATTCTAGAAATTCTGATTCACAAATTTCAAAAAATTCTGATTTTAAGCTTTCAGAAATTCTGATTTTATTTCAGAAATTCTGATTTTATTTCAGAAATTCTGATTTTTCTAATTCAGAAATTCTGACTTGCAAAAATCAGAATTTATTAATTTAAAAATTTACAACAAAAATATTTACATTATCATAACACCCATCTCCTTCAATCTCATCCAGTTTTAGCCTATCTGCGCATGCCAAACACCGCCTTACTTGTTCACAACTATTAACTAACGCGGTAAAATGATCAATTTGTTCGTTAGTTAATTGTTCTACAATATTTTGTTGTTTATTTAAATTGCCAAAATCGAAGGGGCGGCGCATAATAATTTGGTCCGTAAAGTGTTTGGATATTTTACAGAGTAAACGAGTTAATCTTTAAAAAAGTAAGAAATTTTTTAAATTAATTTAATAACACGCCTAATTGTTAAAGAAGCACGTAGTTGCATGTTCTCAACCTGAAAACTGGTATTTTAAGGTTTTAAGAAAATAAGAGGATTTTCCGGAGATAAACTTTTTCCGGAAATGTCGAATAAACTTTTCCGGAAAGAAAATAATTATACAAAATAATGTTTCCGGAAAAATATACTAATAGAGTTTATACAAATTATTTTCCGGAAAAACTATAATTAGCATGTAGGTAAATTAAAACTTTTCCGGAAATGAGAAATAAATGAATCCGGAAAGAAAGGAATAATATTTTACTTCCGGAAACATTTGTTATTTTTAATAGATGTTTCCGGAAAATTATATTAATAGAATTTTGAGAATTATTTTCCGGAAGAACTAACATGACTAACATTTATTAAAAATGTAAGCCTAGTAAAATAATTTTGAAAATTTCCGGAAACTCAATTAGTTTTAAGTTAATTAATTTACCCTCAATCGTTCCCATATAGAAAGTAATTGCTCCAGAATATGGCAAGCATCCATTGCTGATACTGTTTGTCTAATATCGTTGTTTATAAGAATTATAGGGCTTTGACAATCCAGATTAAGGGAAAGATCAAGTCGGGAGAATGCATGAACTAATTTTATTTTTAAGAAATATTTTTTCATTCCACACACCTTGTGCAAATTCCAACCATCTTTGTATTGCCCTATCAAAATGTGCTGACCAATCCAGCTGCTCCATTCTATATTGAAAATGTCCAGTAGTCCCTGTCATTAAAATATTTCTATAACCAGAAAATTCATTCAAAGCCAAATGAACGAGTAAAATAGGTAAAAGTATCTGTTGTTCATCTTCAATATTATTACTGTTTTCCTCGTGGTGACAAAGTTGAGTTATGGCACGTAAATCAGAAGAACCCTCAGACATTAATTCGCTTATGATATGTTCGTGTAACTGGAAATATTAATTAATGATAATTATACAGAGGGAATATAAATTTCCGGAAAATATATTGATAGATTTTATAATAATTTTCCGGAAAAAGAATAACAGATAAGTCAGGAAATTATAACTTTCCGGAATATAAATTAGAAGTTTTCCGGAAATAGAATAATAAAGTAGAAGAATAGATTAAAACTTTTCCGGAATATGATTTAAATATTCTAAACTTTCCGGAAAATAATATTACTATTTTAGAATAATATTACTATTTTTCCGGAAAGCAAATAATAAATAGAAAATAGAACTTTCCGGAAAATTATATTACTATTTTTATCATAACTTTCCGGAAAAAGAATAATTAATGTTCAGAAAATAAAACTTTCCGGAATATGAATTAATACTGTTATAAACTTTCCGGAAGGTTAGGAATAAATAGCCAGGAAATAAAACTTTTCCGGAAAATATAAAAATATAGGCTATGATTATATTTACTGAAATAAACCCACCAATAAATCAAAAGTACAATAGCCAATATCAGCATAATTTACAATTTCAGACATTTCTTGTTTAAAAATATCCTCAAATTTTGAGCTTCTTTCTAACGTAGTATTAAGGGAATGAATTAAGAAATAAAGACGATTAATGGCATTATTCTCCTTATTTTTAAAATTATTTTCAATTTTATTAATCTCCTCAATATTTAATAAAATTGCATTAAAATGAAGATTAGCACTTTTTTCCTAAAAAGGAAAAATTATTTTTAATAGTTATTTTAAATTATCCAACCAAAAGTTCTCTCATTTCAGTACGAAAATGTGTTTGATATGGAACTAAGTGAGCAAAAACTGGGCTTTCTCGAACTAATCTACAAATTAGGAAAGTATTTTTGACAAAGGGAGAGGGAAACGACCTGTAACATTTAAGCATTTCACCAAAAGACTCGAGCTCTGAACGCTTAGGCGAGGGAGATCTACGCCTAGAGCCTGACCGCACTCTAATCCTTAGCCGATGCCTTAGAATTGCAGACCGGCAAAATTCGCTGAATTGAAGTAAAGAATCGGCAAGAACGTATTCTTCATCCTGTTATAGTATTAATATAAATTTATATTAGGGGTGTTGGCGTCAGGTTAATTATTCCCTGTGTGGCTTAAATGTTCTTATTCTTCTCTATTTGAACCACCATAGGCAAGAGTTAACCGGTCGCTAAAAACCCTAATTTATAAGTTTCCGGAAAGGTTAATATTTAATTTAAAGGAAAATAAACTTTTTCCGGAAATGATTCACAAGATTAAATATAAGTATCCTTTCCGGAAATAATATGTCGAGAAATATTATTTTCCGAAAAGAATTTAAAAATAATTTTAAGCTTTCCGGAAAGAGAATAAATAGTTTTGAATTAAAACCTTCCGGAAAATTGTATAAACCTTCCGGAATATAATTTTAACTGGATTATTTTTTTCTTATAATAATTCTTTAAAATTGCCTTATCAAGTTCCATAGGTTTCCATTTACCAACGAGCTTCGAAAATGTTTCGTAGATTAATTCAAAAGAGATACCCATTCCAATCATTTGTATATAGGCTAACCATTGACTAAATGGATTATAAAATTTTTCCAATTTAAAATTTTTAATAAAATTCTCCGACCACATCATCTGGTGTAATTCAGTCAGATCACTCTGTATTGCGTGTTGGTGTAATATAAGTAAAGCCAAATCTGGCAATTGGCCCCTGAATGCACAAACAGGATCTCCCTTCCTTCCAATCTCATAAAGTGCAAATTGTCTTAAAAGGTCTTTATGTTGTTGGACATCTACCAAACCATCAGCATCATCATCTAGAAAAATAAAATCGTCGTTTCGTTGTTCCTCGGTGCTTGATAGGCGGTGTTCTTCTCGGGTACTGAAAGGAAAAGAAGTAAATACATAATATAGGGAATATTATAAACTTTCCGGAAAATATAACACTTTCCGGAAATAAAATAATATATGCCTAATATACTTTCCGGAAAATAAAACAGAAAAATAAATTAATACTACATTATTATAAACTTTCCGGAAAACATTCGCTTATAGTTTCCGGAATACATATTAACTATAAATTAATATGTACATTATATTCCGGAATGTTTATACAATTTTCCGGAAAGTTCTATATTTCCGGAAATAAAATAATATATAGTAATAGACTTTCCGGAAACATTCGCTTATAGTTTCCGAAAATCTTGCCTAGCTATAAATTAATATGTACAGAATTCCGGAAATATAACATTCCGGAAAATATTTAATTATCTTAAATATAACTATAAACTTATACAAAAAATTCCGGAAATAGTATAACATTCCGGAAAACATTTATATTTTATTATCATCTACTCTACCTTAACCACATTTTCAGCTTAATCTGACCAGAAACTTCAGACTTTTCAGATCTCTTCTCCAAATTAAACCATTGCTCAACTCCAGTAGAAGGAATTTCTCCCAGAGAAAAGGTAAGAGAACCAAGAAAATCATCAACAAGTCCATCACCCCCAGCACAACCTCCACCACCGGAACTAGCTCTAGCACTTTGTGTTACTTCTTTAAAGTAACGTCCTAGTCCCTTGAGGCCTTGAACTTGGTTGAGGGAGGAAACAACGTCCAATACGCTTCGATTTTCATCGTCATGGTCCCTAGTATTTTTAGTTTATTTTTGCTCTTGGAAATTAATTTAGAACCATATATCCAGATGGAATCGATCAGTACAATCACCCACTACAAACTGAAATTTTTCGTTCCATTTTGGATTGAGTGTCTTCCTCTGGACAGAGGATGCTTTTATTATGCGTGCAGGTATCCCATCACCAGTCTGTTCAAATGCTGCCTCCAACTTTTCTCTTCTAGAAGCTCCAGGGAAAGCTTTACGACGGAATGAACCACTAAGCCTTTGGAGTACTCTGCGATGTTGGGGAGGTTTTCCGGTTGATGAGTTGTTGTTATTTTGTTCTTCTTCAGGTGAGTCCTAAAAGGGGTTTTTATTCAGACAAGAAATACAAAGGAGAGGTCTATTTTGAAGATGGGTTACTGTAGAACGAGAAATTGGAGAAAATACTCGTTATAAAGAAGGCCTGTAGGATTATTCGCCTACTAACGTCTGCTGATATCGAATAAAATTTATAACTGATACAATTGACTGACTTGAGAGCCGCCTGTAGCATTTGTAGCTTCGTGTTGTTCATCTTCTCCACCTTTGGACGATGATGGTATTACACCCAACATAACAAAGGGATCTGAGAAGCCGTCACTTGAATATTAATTTTCAGTTAAAATTTACTAACCAGGAAAGTTTTTAATTTTTTAAAAAACAACTTACATGTCTTTAGCTATCAAATCCCTGGCTTCCAAAAGCAAAACATTCAAAAGCAGAATCGGTGGCTTTTCGCTAAGAGCCTTCTCAACTAAAGCTTTGTGTGTTTTTTCGTCTATTTGAAATGCTGATTTTGCATATTGAAGTAATTGTTCTTCACCAGAAACACCTCCAACACTACCAACGGAAACTGAACTTTCCTTTTTTCCAATTCGATGGAGGATAGTATAAACTGTTTCCAGATAAAGATCCTTACAAAATATATTATTTTTAAATTTCCTGAAACACATTTTCCGGGAGCATCTTTATTTCATTTCCGGAAAATATGCTATTGGATAATTTCTTCTAGTAAATTTTCCGGAAACAATTCCGGAAACTATTATATTTCCGGAACTTTACTTCATTTCACTAAAGTATTCTATTTTCCGGAAACTTCTATTTACTTATATAAATTCCGGAAACAATTCCGGAAACTATTATATTTTCCGGAAATTTAATTCACCATTTCAGTAAAGTATTCTATTTTCCGGAAACTTCTATTTATATAAATTCCGGAAACTTAATTATTTTCCACAAATTATTTTCTTCTAAAAATTTTCCGGAAACTTTTTTATTCTATTCCGGAATCTTTTAATTATATTCCCAAGAAAATTAGTATATTAATTATATTCCATTTCCGGAAACTATTCCACGTTCCGGAAAGTTTTATTTCCTTTTAATAAATATAGACTAATATTACATTCATATGCTTCTTTTGTTGTTCCACATCTTTTGACGGGGGCCGCAGAGAGAACTGCCCAAAGCGTTCAGTCAACTGTTTACTGCTAGTAATACTGTTTTTAATCGGCTTTTTAGTGTCAATTAAGAGTTCAGCATTATTTGCTTCTATGTATTTACTGGGCAATATAGCCGACAAATCTACATCATCCCCCACTGTGAGGCGTTCGAAGAAGTGTCCATCGGAAGCTTGAACACTGAAAAATATTTTTTCCTTTTTTTATTTTTTAACATTTTTTATTCATTATTCTCATAGAAAAATTAATAATTTAAAAAAAAATTTTTCCTTTCACAAACATTTCTCGCCGTTCCCGCACCCTTCCAGCATTTTCCTCCTCCTCGTCAAACGAAGCAGCAAAGTCTCTCGAAACTTGTCTGATATACCCCGCTGCTCTGTTAATCTGACCGCGAGCCCAGGTTTGAATTCGACCGACTGAAGTAGCCGAACTACTGCTGGTTTTCCTCTTCCATTCTGGCATTTTTAAAAATTTTTTTTAATTTTTAAAGGGAGGAGAGTTGAAAAAATAATTTAATTATCGTCATTAATGATAAAAATAATTATTTTATTTTTATATTGTTTTTTCAATTTTATCATAAAATTAAATAAAAAAGAGTAATTAAAAAATAATAGTTGGAATTTTTGAAATAATTGTTAAAATATTCAAAGATAATGTAAATTAAGAAGTTTGACTTTTTCTAATTTTTATTTGTTGTTTTTCTGCTAAAAATTATTTTTAAAATATTTTCAAATTTTATTTTACTAAATAAGGCAATTTGTGGGACAGTAAACGAGGGAAGGGTGTAAATGACGCGCGATTGACGCAAAAAGGAAGTACATAAAACGGAACAGAAGTGTAAAGGGGTAGACCGGAAACTGGAGAAAAAATAAAAATAACAAGGAAAAATAAAAAGGGTGTAAAAAATAAATATTAATTATTCTGTGGGCGTTAATACATTATTATGCAAAAATTATGGAAAATAAATTATTTTCCGGAAGAAATTAACAAAACTAATAAAAATAGGTATATTTTCCGGAAGTATAAAAGTTACCCGGTTTTATAATTCTATTTCTCTTTCATTATTTTCTGTAACTAAACCTTCCGGAAATTAATTTTGCTTGTATTTTCCGGAATAAAAATAACTTTCCGGAAAGTTTATAGTTATAATTAAAGTAATTTTCCGGAAGAAATTTTCCGGTTTTTATTTTTCGCAAATTATTTTTTGAAAATAAATCTTCCGGAAATTTCCAGAATAAAAATAACTTTCCGGAATGTTAATATAAATTTAATAAAAAATATAAAAATATTTCTGGAGAGGAATAATAAATTATTATTTTACCTACAATTTCAGAAATAAAATTACCTAACTTAATTTTTATTAAATTAAATTTTTTATTGTATTTTTAAGCATTTTATATTTATTTAAATAAATTTAATTTTTCTAATGCTTATTATATATTTTTTATCCTCCCTCACATAGCACACATTCATTTTTGTGCTTTTATGTTATGCATGAATGTTAGACCAGTGAAATAAATTTTTTTAATAAGGCAAAGGCTTTTTGGAGGAAGGCAAGTATGTATTGTTGTCCTATTGAACACGAAAATTTTTTGGAAGAAAATTGAATGAAAAAAGGAAAGTGGATAAGAAAAAATGAAAAAAATGAAAAAATGGAAGAAAAAATGAAAAAAATGGAAGAAAAAAAAGAAAAAAATCATCAGTAAAAAGACCCATAAATTTTCTTAGAAATACTACCAATTTGGAATAAAAATGAGAGAAATTTTCTTGAAATATATATCTAATAAAAATTGGTGGGAGGGGGTTTTATAGGTTTTTTTTATTTTTTTAATTCATTTTTTATTAATTTGGAGGGGAATTCTTTGAAGAAGGGGAGAATTCTTTTAAAAATATTGGCTTCGATTTAATTTTAATTTTTTTTTAGGAAATGAATTTTTTAAGGAAGAATTATGTAAATTTAATATATAAATAAATCCAGATTCAGAATAAAAAATAATAATTTAAAATTAAATAATCCTCTATGGGATTAAATAAAAATAAGTAAATATTTTTTAATTAAATCCAGATTTTCGGTCATATATTAGAAAATAAAAATTTTTTATTTTTAAAAATAAAAAGACAAAAAGTTTGTGTAAAATATTCGGGAATTAAATAAATAAAGTAAATATAATTTTTATAACAAAAAAAAATAAAGAAAGAAAATTAATTATATATTAATTATACATATTAAGCTAAAAGAATACTCAACAAAAGAAAAATAAGAAAAAATTTTTTAAAAATAAAAAGAAAATATACGGATGAAAAGCAAAAAATTAAGTAAAAGTGAAAATGAAAAAAGAACCAAAAAAAGAGGAAGTAAAGCGTGGGAAGGAAAAAGAGATAAACAATGCGGATTTTATCTGCGGATAAATTTATTTGTAAATTTATAGGGAGATTTAAATTATGTGTGGCGAAATAAACAAATCAGAATTAAAACAGAATTTATTAAATTATCTAAATTATAAACTTGAAGCACAAGCAATAACAGAATTTAAAATTCAGAATTAAAAAAGTTTAAATTATAAACTTAAGTTTAAGTTTTAAGTTTAAATTCTGATTTCAAATTAAAAAACTTAAGCATGAACTAAACTTGAAAACTTAAAAACTTAAGTTTATGAATAAAATCAGAATTAAACTTGACCAGAATTATAAAACTTAAAATCAGAATATATTTAAATTAAGTTTCTGATTTTAAAAAATAAATTTAGATTAAATATCAGAATTATAAATCAGAATTAAAAGGTCAGAATTATAAGAAATTCAATTTAAATATACATCTTCTGTTTTCAAGTTTTATAATTCTGGTCAAGTTTAATTCTGATTTTATTTATAAACTTAAGTTTAAGTTTTCAAGTTTTATTTCTGTTTTAATGTCTTTTTAATAATAAACTTGAACTTAAGTTTATAAGTGAAATCAGAATTAAAATAACAGAATAAACATATCAAAAGGAATAAAAATCAGAATTAAATTTCAGAGTTAATTTCAGAATTAAATTTCAGAATTAAATTTCAGAATTAATTTCAGAAGCAATTTCAGAATTAAAATATCAGAATAAACATATAAAAAGGGAATAAATATCAGAATAAATATCAGAATTAAATTCCAGAATTAAATATCAGAATTAAAGTTCAGAATTAATTTCAGATTAATTTCAGAATTAAATTTCAGAATTAAATTTCAGAATTAAAATTTCAGAATTAAATTTCAGAATTAAATTTCAGAATTAAAATTAAATTTATTTATTTAAATTTCCGCAAATTTTAAAATTTATCCGCAAATTTTAAAAATAAAAATATTTTCTTTAAAAGAAAAGTAAAAGCAAACATTTACGCCAGAATGCAAAGATAAGCTTACTACTTAAAAAGACTTTTAAATTTGAGAACAATTAGAGCTGTCTTATGAGCTAGGGAATAAATAAATGGCAGCACGCGCGGTACAAAAAAAGAGAATTTTTCTTTTAAAGAGTAAACAGATAAAAAAAATTTTTTTAAGTAAAAGATAAAGCAAAAAGTAGTGCATTACTAAGGAAACACTTTGACATTACGAAGAAAATAATACGATTTAATTTTTTGAAAAAAAATAAAAAAAATAAAATTTTATTAAAAATAAAAGTTGAAAATGAGAAGGAAAATCTTTGGCTAAAAAGTAGGGAAATGTTGAAAAAAAAAATTATTGGAATTTTAGTAAGAAAATTCAGAAAATAAATTTAAAAATAAATTAAACGCTCCCAATCAAAATCACTTTTAGTGAGCTTAAATTAAAGTGTGATGGCCCCCTTGGGAGAAAATGGAGGATAGGCCTATTTGGGAGAGCTTGTACTAAATATGGGCTTCTAATAGAGGCCGGGCTTTAATTAGAAGCATTTACGTTAAATTAAATTTCATTTAATTATTTTTTTGAATAACTTCTGGAATATTTTTTACGAATTTATTTTAGTGAAGTAAAAAACCTTCCTGAATGAAAATAATTTTTGGAATTGGAATAGCTTCCCGGACATTGTATTGAACTTAACGACGAGGTGTAGATATACAGTAATATTTCAATGAACAGCCACTATAATGATTCACGACCTTCGGCCACTGGGTCTTGTATTGTGTAAAGCTTATAGCTATTTAATTCCTAAGGCTATGTAGTAGGCGGCGTGGTGTAACACATCAGTCCGGTCAACTGACGTTGCTGGTTTGCTCCCAGCCGCCGATTCACCTTTTGCACTCGCTGAAGGAGAGAAAGAGCTAAAGCCCAGCTGCTTTACATTGAAGAAAAGAGTTTTCATATTTTTAATTCAAGCAAAGAAAATTTAAAAAATTAAAATTATATGAATAATTTGACTTTAAAATTAATTAAAAATTAATTTTAAAAATAAGCAAATAATTAATACAAGATTAGAAAACAAAAATGTACATATATTTATTTATTTAGAATGTGTTACCAACCAAACAAAATATTTTTACTAGTAGTATAGTGTATAGTGTATGCGTGAGATTGAAATGCCACATTTGCTAAAAGGGCGGCTGCCACAAAAAAATAAAAATGAAAGAAAGAAAAGTGTATGAATGTGTGTTGTCACACAGTTTCAATTTAATACTAAAAAAAAGAAGAAAGGATAAAAAGCCTAACAAAAAAAGTAAAAGTTTTTATCTGTTTTAAGGGATGGGAAAATTAAAAAAGGAATGAGGATACTATTAGTAGTTAGCAAAATTAAATAGTAAAGGATCGAATATATTATCGAAATAATGCCTTCTTTAATGTTTTCTAGGTCGTAATAAAATTTTCAAAGTAAACATACCTTGGTACAGGAACGTGGGGTGTATGGCTTAGGGAGCTAGCCCAGCTCAGGAGCCGGTGCCACGAATTCGAAAAGGGACGGAGATAGAGCTAGAGCCGGAGCCAACAAATGCTTAAAACACAGCACTGGTACGAATTTTAAGAAGAAAAATAGAAAAATATGGGGTGAGGTGTTTTTCTACTATGAACAACAAAATAAATTGTTAAAATTTGTGCTAATTACTATTATTATTTCAATTTTTGTTCCTCTTAATTTGAATTGTATAGCAAAATTTAATTTTAAATTTAAAAAAATAAATTAGAAATTAAAATTTAAATACTATTTGAGGCATAAAGAGACTGAAGAATATTCCTGTGGGTTTTTCTATTTTTTTGTTATTTAAGCCTCCTCTTAAAACTACCTACATATTTGGAATTCTTCTAAAAAACCCCTAAACTTTAAAATTTATTTTTCATCTCAATACTAAAATAATTTCCATACTTTCTCTCAATTACTCATCACTAAACTTGTACTAGATTTAAAAACATAATTTTTGCAGTAATAAAAAGATGAGCAATCACCAAACAGATTTAAATATAAAATCACCAAAAAATTTATTTTTGGTCACTCTCTTGAAGAAAAAAATAATTTTTCAAATTTTATTGTCTTTATTTTCTAAAAATATTTTTGTAACTTTTTTTATATTTTAATGATTAAAAACAATATTTATTTAACGGGGAATTTTAAGAGGATCATGAAGAAAAAATTATTTTTGACATTATTATTTTTATTTTTCCTTTCAAATTATTTTCTATTATTTATCATCATTGTTATTTATTTCCTTAATAAGCCTAAAAATAATACCTATAATTTTTATTAAAGTTTAAATAAAGAATAGATAAATAAAGGAATTTTTATTGTTATGCAAATGTACAGTTACATTATTAGTTTAAAAATAGTTATTATTTACCTACATACAACTTGAAGTAAGAAAAAAGTAGTAACTTTTCTTAAGTTGTATAACTATAAAAATAGATTGCAGAAACTTTCCGTAATGCTACGGTTACATAAAAAACGCAAGACGCCGGCGGAAGACGCTCGGCGTCAAGACGCCGGCGGAAGACGCTGTTTCGTGGTTACATAAAATCGGCGTCTTCCGCTAAGCGGGAAGACGCAAAGCGTCAAAACGCTAGTTTTATGTAACCACAAAACAGCGTCTTCCGCCGGCGTCTTGACGCCGAGCGTCTTCCGCAAGACGCGCGCGATTTTATGTAACCACTAAATCCGATTAAAAATTTTTTTAAATATTTATCATACTAAAATAAAATTTATAAAGTCAAATCATTTTATTCTGCCATGGTACCGATCAGGGGTGGCGCTCCTCTCGTATCTCGTGAAATCTCGTGTTTTTTAGAGGTCTCGTATCTCGTATTTTGCCACAAGACACGAGATATTTTCAATATATTTTAGAAAAAATGTCAAAAATTTGGGACTATTTTAGGATCCTAGAATTAGGAAAAAAGGAAGAAATCTTGCCCAGTGGTCTTCCAAAATTCTCAAATTTTCGCCTGCGGCGCTACAATGGAAAGAGGTATAAAGTTGGTCAAGCGGGAACGAGGTCAAGAGTATTTTCTAGAGAAAATCCCAACATTCCTTTGAGGTTGTTGAACTTTGATTGGTGGCTTTTCGGTTTTGTTTTCTTGGACGGCTCTAGTTCAAACAAAGGCTAGATATACAAACATAGGTTTTTGAACCTATAATAAATTCTCTGATCTCTCTTGAAATATATAAATTCAAAATAACTAAATAAATTCAAAATATCTAATTTTAACAAAAAATTCGGTAAAATTTCGGATTCTGAAAATATTAGGTCGAATATTTGTTTCAATTAATCACAATTTTTAACCTGTGAAAAATAGAATGGCGGCCATTCAATTAGAATTTTAGTGATATCCGGATATTTCAAGGGGGGGAGCCATACACTATATGGGACGAGCCATACTTATCAAGAAATGGTCACTTTTTCATGTTTTTGGTATCATTTGATAGAGAATCAAAAGCTCTACAACATATCAAAAAATCAGAATTTTTGACCGATTGATAAAAAAGTTATGATACTGAGAATCTCAAAAATATCGAAAAAAAAGAATATTTTTTTGCAAAAAGTATACCTTTTTCAAAATTAATTTTAACCTATAAAAAGTCGGTTTAAAAATATAAAATTTATATTGATCGATAGAGAATAAACTGAATTTTCAGAATCTTTTTAAATTTTGAAAATCGGATTAGAATTGGCCAAGAAATGATCAAGACGCTAAAAGTTGCCGCAAAAAATTCAAACATGTTTGAATTAAAAAAAGAGACGCCGGCGTCAAGACGCCGGCGGAAGACGCATTTTATGTAACCACTCAAAAAAGCGGCAAGACGCTCGGCGTCAAGACGCCGGCGGAAGACGCGGGTTATGTAACCACTCAAAAAAAGCGTCAAGACGCCGGCGTCTTTTACTCTCCTCATTTCCCATTATCTTTTCTGCCGCAAGACGCGCGCGTTTTTTATGTAACCGTAGCATAAGTTGTATAACTATAAAAATAATTTGTCGAAACTTTCCGGAAGTTGTATAACTATAAAAATAAATTGTCGAAACTTTTCGGAAATAAATCAAACTATAGTAGATATACTCCTCCCGGAATATACTACTTTCCGGAAAATTATGCTTATCGTTTAATATGTAGGGTATATTTATTTCTTCCGGAATTGACTACCAACTTTCCGGAAGTTGTATAACTATAAAAATAAATTGTAGAATCTTTCCGGAAATAAAAAAAGTATATAAATATATTCTTTCCGGAATATACTATTTTCCGGAAAATTATGCTTATCGTTTAATTGCGTATATTTATGTCTTCCGGAAATGACTACTAACTTTCCGGAAGTATTCTTTAATTTTTATACTTTCCGGAATTTACTATTTTCAGGAAAATGATTCTCTCATTCAACTAATATTTATTTCTTTCTGAAAAATACACTCTCCTTTATCTCTCTATCTCTAAATATCTAAATAGATACCTAATTAAATACATTTTTATATTTTTAATATTCTCTTAGTAAGTTTTTATTAAATTCAAAAAAATAAAAAAATATTCATTTTTTATTAAGGGCAAAAGCTTTTCAAAGCGTGCGCCTATTTCCGTTCAAAAAATATTTATTTATTAAATAATGTGATAATCCAAATCTCTTCAAATCCAAATTATTTTCCCTTATTTTCAGAGTTCCTTTTCTCTATTTATTAAAATAAATCCCTTCAAAATATTTTTTCAGAGCAAAAAAAAATTATTTTTTTTAAAAACTTTCTCTCCCTCTTTTTTATTAAACGGCCTTGTTTTGTGTCTATTAAATTGTTAATCCTTCTATGAAAAAAATTCCCCGTGGCGGACATTTTTGTGATTTTTGTTTCGTTGATTGGCGGTGAGATAGGCTTGCCTTTAAATCCCTACTTGGTTATATTCCCTTCAAATATCGCTAATCGCCAACTCAAAAAATTTTTTTGAAACGATATGACGCATATGGTCACAAACGAGTAGAGAATTGGAATAATGATTTAAGCGGCGTTTTTATATTTTTTTGGTATATTTTTTTGAATATTTTTTGAATATTTTTTTCTCCATATTGAACAAAAAATTATGTAACAAAAATTAGTCTCATGGAAATTTTTGTGTTTATTTGTTTATTTTAGTATTTTTTGGATAGGATAAAACTTTTTTTGTTTTCTGCTAAATGTACATATATACAATATCCCAGAAATATATAATTTTCCGGAACTTGTATATTTATAAGAATGAGTTATTCCAACTTTCCGGAAAATATTTGAACTCTAAACTTGACGTAATGAACAAGTTGGAGTTTTCGTCAATTTTATATACATATTTTTCCGGAAATTAAACTTTTCTTATTGAAAAAGTTGGATTTTCCGGAATGTTTATATGTATAACAATTATATATATACCAGGGGTGTGCCAGTTTCGCGTTTCGCCTTTTGCGGATTTTCGCGTTTTTTGGATTTACTTTCGCGTTTCACTTTTGAAATTTAATTTCGCCTTTCGCGTTTCGCTTTTTAAAATCCGTTTCGGCACACCCCTGATATATACTTTTCCGGAATAGTTTTAAGTACTATCAGTTTTAATAGCAATTTTCCTGATATTTTTCCTGATAATTTTATTAAATTTAGTATTTAAATTATTTAATGTTCTTTCAATTATATTTTTGTTTGCCTCTCAATTTGTGCATTTAAATTAATTCAAGCTGCTAGTATATGGCATTAAGTACCTTCCAAATAATTGTAGTTCAATTAGTCTCACACCAAATTAATTTTAATTTTTTCTTGAAATTTATTTTGTTAATAATTTGTATTAATTTTAATGAGGCTAATAATCAAGTAATTTAATTAATTAAAAAAAAATTTGAGAAAAAATTTAAAGTTTTTCGACAAATCCATCCCAGATGCAGAAACACTCCTCACCCAAGCAGACTTTCATAGAGTCACACAAAGACAGAAAAGACAACAACCTACCGATACAAATCCAAATAATATAAATGACTCTGCCATGTATAATAAAGAAAGATTTGAAGGGGATATTTGTAAAAAAATTTTTTTTGGAATTTTATTTAATTTTAAAATTATTTTATAGTGACTGCGGTAAACCCTGCAGCTTCCCTACCTTTGAAAAATTCGGTAAATGAGGATTCTGCGGTTAAAACGCAAGATGGGCTACAAAGGAATGCTGTAAAATATTTTTTATAAATTTAAAAAAATTTTAACAATAGGTAAGACAGTCTTATTTGAAATGGCCGCGAGCTCGGATACCTTATACAGTTAGTAGTCAATATACAAGTTATGGGTAAGTTTTGAATGTTATTCGTTATTCGATTGAATTATTAGACAAAAATTTGTTATTTTCTGAAGTAAACTTTCCGGAAAATAATTTCTAGATAGTAAATATAATGTTCCGGAATATGTATAATGCTGTCCTGTAATGCTTTCCGGAATATTTATATAAATAATTAATATTTTCCGGAAAACTTTATTGTTAATTGTAATAAGTATTTCCGGAAAATAATTCCGGAAAAAATAATAATTTTATATATCTATAATGTTCCGGAGAATACAATTAATTAACGTTTTCCGGAATATTTAGGTGAAAAATTATGTTTTTCCGGAAACTAACTATTAAAAAGTATTTTCTTATAAACACTAATTTCCTGAAAATTTTAAGTCGTGAACGTATTGCTGAAGCAATTGACGAATATCACAAGAAGACTTGTGTTGAATGGACACCTAAAGCAGCAAATGATATTGACTATGTTAATAAATTTAAATATTTTTAAAAAATATTTTTTAAATATTTTTTAAAGGTACACATTTTACCGGATGATGGTTGCTATTCTTTGGTGGGAAAAGTTGGTAATATTTTTAATAAAATTTTTAATTTAAATTTAATTAAAATTATTTTTAGGTGGAAAACAGCCTGTATGTTTTTGTTCTTTATTTTAAATAAAAATAATTTTTTAGGTCAGTCTAGGTGAAGGTTGCATGACCATAGGAATTGTGTAATAATTTTAAAAATATTTTAATTCTAAATTAATTTTTTTATTTTGTAGTATTCACGAGTTAATGTAGGTTATTAAATTAATTTTTTAAATAAATATTAAAAATTTTTTTAATAATTAAAAAAATTAATTTTTAACAGGCATTCTGTTGGGTTTTTCCATGAACAAAGTAAAATTTTAAAAAATTTCTTAATTTAAAAAATTTTTTTAATAATCTCAAGGTAGGACAGATCGTGATGATTATGTTAATATACTTTGGGACAATATTGACCCAACCTTAAGAGGTAAAAAATTATCTGATTAATTAAAAATATAGTATTAATATAATAATAATATTTAAAAAGAAAATATTTTTCCGGAAGAGTATTAATTTATTAGAATATAACCTTTCAGGAAATAATTTATAAAATAAAATATATTATGTCCGGAAAAATAATAATAACAAAGAAATATTCCGAAATAGTAGAACCTTCCGGAAAATGTTTAAAAAATTATGGGAACTTTCCGGAAAGGATAATTTTATAATTTCCGGAAAGTTTGGAATAACTATGAAATTATAAACTTTCCGGAAAATAATTAAAAAATTAATATGTATATCAGATAAAAGAATATAAAGAAATATTCCGGAAATAATAGAACTTTCCGGAAAATGTTTAAAATTATTATAACCTTTCCGGAAAGGTAAGAATAATTAAGAAATTAAACTTTCCGGAAAATAATTAAATTAAATTAAATTATAGATCAATTCGACAAATACTCTCAAAATATGATTGACTATTTGGGGACGAGATGTTAGTAAAATAATATAAAATTTTTGAAGAATTATTTTTTTTTAATTTTAAAGATGATTATTCTTCTGTAATGCATTATGGACCCTTAGTAAGGAAAATAATTTTTTTAAATTAAAAATTATTTTTATTTGAAGGCATTCAGTAAAAATGGGAAGCCAACAATCGAACCAAAAGAGAAAAGTGTAACCATTGGTCAACGTTTAGGATTTAGTCCGACAGATTTATACAAAGTCAATAAGCTCTATAATTGTCCGAATTGTATGAAAATTAATTTAAATTAACAAAAAAATTTTTTTAAAGCAAACACTAATCCACAACAACAGCAGACTTCTCAACAACAAAAACAGGCACAATTACCTGTACCTATTTCGGTTGTTTCCACTTCTGGAAGTGTTGCTTCAAGTAATAGTAAATGTATAGATTTGTTGAATGAATGTCCATATATAGCTAATAAAGGTGGATATTGAAGTTTTTAACATTTTGAAATAGATTGGAAAAATTCTTCCGATATCCCTGTTAAGATAAATTAGGATTTGGAAAATAAAAAGGGTTGGGGGGGGGGGATATTAAGTGATTAAGAATCACACGATATCCTTCCATATCCTTAATGACCCGGTATCACTCCAAATCCTCCCTAGACCCTCGATATGCCTTAAAATCCTCCTCAATCACCTATCTCCCTCGTATCCTCCTTAGTCCTACGATACCTCTCCAAATCCTCTCATATTCCCCGATATCCCTCCAAATGGTCCTTAATTAGCCGGTACCACTTCAATTCCTCTTTAGTCCCCCGATATCCCTCCAAATCCTCCCTAATCACTTAATATCCCTCCAAATCCCTTATATTCCTCTTAATCTCCCGAATGTATCCTTCCAAATATCACTCAAGCTCCTTTCTAATTACCTTGCTCACTTTAAATCCTCTCATATCCCCGATATTTATTACGTAAAAATTTTTATGGGAAAATTCTGGAATCTCGCTAGATCCCGGTAAATGTGATAACGGAGAGAAACGACATCCCCTTCTCGTTCAAAATTTTGAAAAAGATTTTAGCGCCTCTAATTTAACTTAATCTTTAAACAGACACCTGTAATTCAATGTTCAGTTCTTCATTTTTGCAAGCTAATTGTCCAAAAAGCTGTAATAGTTGTCCTTCCAATAATAATACTGATTGTAATGTATAAATATATTTTGTGGAAATTTAAAAATATTTTTGAAAATTTTAAAGGACAGTAAAGCTTGGTGTTCACGTTGGGCAAGTAGTGGAATGTGTGATCTCTACATTTTTCAAGTAAATTTTTATTTTGATTAATCGCTCTCTAATTAAAGGCCCTTTATAGACAAAAAAAAATTAACCTCTCTCTATTAGAACACCCCTCTCTAATAGTAAGCCTCTATTAGAACTTGTTCTACTATTAGAACACCCACTCTCTAATAGTAAAACCAAGAGGCCAAGAGATTAACCTCTCTCTTTTAAAACACTCCTCTCTAATAGTAACCCTCTTTTAATAACCTCTCTTTATTAGAACACCCCTCTCTAATAGTAACCCTTTTTTAATAACCTCTCTCTATTATAACACCCACTCTCTAAGAGTAACCCTCTTTTAATAACCTCTCTCTATTAGAACACCCCTCTCTAATAGTAAGCCTCTATTAGAACTTGTTCTACTATTAGAACACCCACTCTCTAATAGTAAAACCAAGAGGCCAAGAGATTAACCTCTCTTTTAAAACACTCCTCTCTAATAGTAACCCTCTTTTAATAACCTCTCTCTATTATAACACCCCTCTCTAATAGTAAGCCTCTATTAGAACTTGTTCTACTATTAGAACACCCACTCTCTAATAGTAAAACCAAGAGGCCAAGAGATTAACCTCTCTCTTTTAAAACACTCCTCTCTAATAGTAACCCTCTTTTAATAACCTCTCTTTATTAGAACACCCCTCTCTAATAGTAACCCTTTTTTAATAACCTCTCTCTATTATAACACCCACTCTCTAAGAGTAACCCTCTTTTAATAACCTCTCTCTATTAGAACACCCCTCTCTAATAGTAAGCCTCTATTAGAACTTGTTCTACTATTAGAACACCCACTCTCTAATAGTAAAACCAAGAGGCCAAGAGATTAACCTCTCTCTTTTAAAACACTCCTCTCTAATAGTAACCCTCTTTTAATAACCTCTCTCTATTATAACACCCACTCTCTAAGAGTAACCCTCTTTTAATAACCTCTCTCTATTAGAACACCCCTCTCTAATAGTAAGCCTCTTTTAATAAAATCTCTCCATTAGAAAACCCACTCTCTAATAGTAAGCCTTATTATTAACCTATCTCTTTTAAAACACTCCTCTCTAATAGTAACCCTCTTTTAATAACCTCTCTATTAGATCAACCCTCTCTAATAATAAGCCTTTATAGAGATTTTCTCTCCTTACTAAATGGTATACTGTATTATTTAAAATTTTTAGTCATATATGCTCTCAAATTGTCAAATGTCCTGTGGCGTTTGTTAAAATTTTTTATTTTCCACTGATACCGGTGGGACAAAATACCAGTGTATATGTATTTTATTCAACTATTATTGTAATGGAAAAGTGCTTTACTTTTATATACTCATTTTTGTTGTATAAAAATTATTTATAAAATAAAAATAAATTTTGAAAACCAAGAGACCGAGGAGAAAAAACTAAGAGGACACCGCTGGGGAAAACTTCGGTATTTCCTTTAAATTTTAATAATTTATAGAGGAATATTTAAATTTAATTTAATTTTTAATAAATTCAAATTAATTTTCAATTTTTAAAATCGACTTGAAAAATCCATAGGGTAAAATAAATTATAGTAAATAAATTAACGATTAAATTATAGGAAGTAAAATTTTTTAATAGACAAAGAGAATGGAATTGTCTATTGCCCTCGATGGTAAAAAAATTTAATTTAGAGGCCCTACCCTCTAATAAAAAAATCCTCTATTAAAAATTTAAACAATGAAAGGGATAGACATTCAGAGGGCTAAGGAAAAATTTTTTAGACAACAATGGAAAAATTTAAAGACAAAGGATGCCCTTTCTAATAAATTTAAACATTAGACTTACGCTAATAGGCGGGCATAAGTCGACAGGCATGTATTCCCGTTGAATTTAATTTATATAAAAGCCAATAGAAAATAAGGGGAAATCATTCAAAAGTTTTTTTCCTTCAATTAAAATTTTCAAAAAAATTTCTTAACTTCTAAACAACCAAAAATGGCAAAATTTATTTTTGTTTTTGTATTATTAGTTTTTATTTTTATTAATTTGTCTTGTGCTCCCAACTCTTCCTACATAGGCTCTTGGAAAAATCATTCACCGCAAGAAAAAGCAGAAGCTAGAGCTAAGAAAGAAGCTAAGAAAAAACAAGTGCATTATGGTTAGTGAGTCCTGGGTTTATATTCTTCAATAGACACTTTGAGTGGGCTTATATTATTTTAAGCTTCTATTGGATACTGGGATTAAATTTTTCAACTCTTCCATTTGGGATCGCAATAAATTTTCAACCAATATACAAAATAAGAATCCTCCTTGCTTGGATTCATGGTATATTCCCCCTGATATTCGAATCCTGTATCCAAACAGGAAAAGTCCGGTTATCCTGATTCGGTATCTGTTATCTGACATTTAATGACTAATATAAGTAATTTATACATAAGAAACCATTTTTACGACTAGGGAAGACTATGGACGTAATTTCTAAATTTTTAAAGTTCAATTTAAAAATGAATAAAAAACTTTTAAATTAAGAAATGATAAAAAAACTTGGTGAAATTGAAAAGAAGAAACAGGCCGCAAATCCATATACTAATTTTTGGGGTTCTTCAACAAAGTAAAATTCGAAATTTTCGAAATTTCGAATTACTTTGGATAAAAAGAAGAAGATGTAAAAAGAAGGGGATGTTTATAAGAAAAAACAAACAGATATACTGTTGCTCTTTTAAATTGTACAAACAAACATTTTTAAAACTTCATGTAAATACTTGCGATTATTTTGATTAAATTTTGGGAAAAAAAATTTTTCGTTTAAATTATTTTTGTAAGAGATTGTTTTAATTAGAGGTCGACAGAATCGTCTTCTATGGGATCCCACAAAAGTTAATAACAAGGGTTGTTCACGACCGGTTTTAAAACCGAAATTTTTTAGATTTTTTGCCAAAAATTAGCCTTTTTTACAAAATTTATAAAACCAAAAATTTGCGAAAATGAGTGGTTTTATTAAAAATTCCCCCAAAATAAAACCGATTATATGTCTAAACCTCAAAAACGAAAACATATATTAGAAAAAGGTCAACTTTATATTTACAAGTGAATATGCAAATTGTTTATTTGATTAAGCGAATGCAGCTGATTAACATAAAACCGGGGGTACCGGTTAATAACCGGTAGTGAACAACCTTAGTGGTAACTTTTACAAAGATTTGCGGGAGTCTCTAAGATGTATCTTTAATCCTTTCTTTAAAGTTTTAATAACATTAGAAATTTGGCATTCTTCTTGAAAAGTCATTTCTTCCCATTAAATAGAGTTAGGCCTAACACTTATATTATTTCATCATTAATGTAATATTATATTTCCTGTGAAAACATAGCGGTAACATCATTCTTCGGCAAGCCTGAGGACCTGATCTACCTCATAGCTTGTTTATTTAAGGAGAAAGGTCTCTCCGGATTTTTCAGTTCCGGAAAAAATCCGGTCACACGGATTTGGGACCCGGACAATAAAAAATTTTTTATCCTTTTATCATTTAAAAATTAAATAAATAGTTCATTTGCCTAAGGTTAATGGATATATTTAAACTTTTAATGCATTAATCATATTAACACACCTATCTGTCAATTAATTTTACACAAGGATTAATTAAATTTAAAATAATATTTATATTTATTTATTTAATTCCAAGTTTTTATTTACTTTTGATTTGCTGAAAATTTTTTACATCGAGAAATATGTGCTAAGTGAGATAATAATCTTTTGGCAAACAAATTTTAAACAAATTTGGTCAATCATTCTATTTTTGATCATATTTCCCGTTAAAAATTTTTTATTAAAAATGCAAAATATTCCTTTAATTTTTCCTGGATTGTAGCTGAAAACTGTTCCTGTCCTGTAGCAGAAAATATTTACTATATGCCCGAGTATAGAAGCCATTATTATGCGCACTCAACTCAATTACAGATTCTCCTAAATGGTTGGAAAATCCAAATTTGGCCAACAATTATTTTGTTTGGATTTATGTGCTTTTAATTGTTATTTTGTAGCTACAGGTAAAGTTCAAACATAATATTATAAAATTAAAATTAGCATTTAAAATAATTAAATAAATGGTTTTAAATTTTGTTAAAAATAGGTAATATGTATAACTAATTTAAAAATTATAATCGTGTTCATTTCTAATTTATAGTTTGAGTTTGCTTCTCTTTATAGTTTGCTTCTCT